TCTCTCTCACACACACACACATTTACTCTCTCTCTTTCTCTCTCTCTCTCACACACACACACACCTTTACTCTCTCTCTCTTTCTCTCTCACACACACACACATTTACTCTCCTTCTCTCTCACAAACACACATTTACTCTCTCTCTCACACACACACACACACACACACATTTACTCTGTCTCTCTCTCACACACACACACACACACACACACATTTACTCACTCTCTCTCTCACACTACACACACATTTACTCTCTCTCTCTCTCTCTCTCTCTCTCTCACACACACACACACACATACACAGACTTACTCTCTCTCTCTCTCACACACACACACTCTCTCTCACACACACACACATTTACTCTCTCTCTCACACACACACACACACATTTACTCTCTCTCTCACACACACTTACTCTCACACACACAGACACACAAACGCACACAGATACACTCACATATGCATGCACACTCACACATGCACGTGCGCACACATACTCGAATGCATGCGCACACACTGCACACGTCTGTCCGGGAGCTGCCTCCATCCTGCCTCTCCGGAGCCTTTCACTCTCACGTGTGACGAGGGGCCTGAGGTGCTGAGAGCGGGGCCCTGCCGTGCTGCGGCCGCAGGGCCAGGATCGGGGCGGTGCCCGGACTCCCGAGTGCCCGCGGACCGCTGCGTGGTGCAGGCCGGCTGCCACTGCCGGCCCGGCACAGGCGGCGGGCGGCGGCGGGCAGGCTGCCGTGTCTCTGGGTGACTCAGGCCGACGGGGACCCCGTCTTCCCCCGTGGGCATCGCGAGCGCCCCGGGCACGCTGGCGGCGGGGGCTTGGGCACAGGAGCTGCTGAGCGGGAGTTTGTTTGTCCGGGGCGGGCGGCTGGGCACTGGGGCAGCAGGCAAATATTTGTGGTTACGGATTAACCAGAGGCCGGGCTGTCATGGCGGCAGGAGGGCGGCCTTGTGCTCTCGCCACGGCCCACCCCAGTAAGTCCCCTTCCAGGCAAGACTGTGTGTGGGGGGACGGGAAATCAGGACTGGGGGGACAGGCCTCTGGCCGGGGCCCGGGGCCAGGGCCAGGTGGACACCAGCTGAGGGCCGGGGCCAGGGCCAGGTGGGCACCAGCTGAGGGCGGGGGCCAGGGCCAGGGCCAGGTGGACACCAGCTGAGGGCCGGGGTCCGGGGCCAGGTGGGCACCAGCTGAGGGCCGGGGCCAGGGCCAGGTGGACACCAGCTGAGGGCCGGGGCCAGGGCCAGGTGGGCACCAGCTGAGGGCGGGGGCCAGGGCCAGGGCCAGGTGGACACCAGCTGAGGGCCGGGGTCCGGGGCCAGGTGGGCACCAGCTGAGGGCCGGGGGCCGGGGCCAGGTGGGCACCAGCTGAGGGCCGGGGGCCGGGGTCCGGGGCCAGGTGGGCACCAGCTGAGGGCCGGGGGCCGGGGCCAGGTGGGCACCAGCTGAGGGCCGGGGCCGGGCCAGGCCAGAGGCCGTGGGGAGCCTGCGCCCGCCCACCGGCCTCTGGCTTAAACAGGCATCGGCAGCCTCGGGCCTCGGAGGCGGGCGGCAGGGACAGCCCGGGCAGGGCCTCCCCTGGTCTCTGGCGGGCAGCCTGGCCCCGTGCCCTGGGGCACCTAGAGGTTCGGGGTTCGGGCTTCAGCCAGCGCTGCCACCCCCCGAAAGCGGGCTCTTCCGAGCCTCCAGCCCTCCTCCGTGAGACCGAGTGACTGCCTCGGACCACGTCCTGGGTGGCCGGGCGCCGAGGCAGGAGCCCACCCACGCGCACTCGCTGCGGCACACCCTGCTGGAGGCCTTCCCTCCCTGAGGTCTCCCCTCACCGTAAGGGCCGAGGGTGAGGGTGCCCCGCTGGCCCCTGTGCCGGCGCAGGCCGCTCGGAGACGCCGCCGTCTCGGCAGAGGCGGGCGTGGGCGCCGGGAGCTGCCGAGTCTTCTGTGCGGCCCTCCCGCCCCGCCCTCACAGCCTCAGCCCCGGAGTGGTGTCCGCCCGCGGGGTCCGGCCTGATAGTCCGCCGGAGGGGGACGGGGAGGACAGGGGTACGGGGGGACGGGGAGGGGGACATGGGGAGGACAGGGGTACGGGGGGATGGGGAGGGGGACGGGGAGGACAGGGGTACGGGGGGACGGGGAGGGGGACATGGGGAGGACAGGGGTACGGGGGGACGGGGAGGGGGACATGGGGAGGACAGGGGTACGGGGGGACGGGGAGGGGGACATGGGACAGGGAGGGCGGGGGGGATGGGAGGGGGACATGGGGACGGCGAGGACAGGGGTATGGGGGGACGGGGAGGGGGACGGGCGGGGACAGGGGTACGGGGGGACGGGGAGGGGGGACGGGGAGGACAGGGGTACGGGGCGACGGGGAGGGGGACGGGGAGGACAGGGGTACGGGGCGACGGGGAGGGGGACGGGCGGGGACTCTGCGCGGGCAGGGGCGGGGGCTGTGGGCTCAGACGTCTCCTCAGACAGGTGTCCGCGGTTCCAGGATGTGGCTGCTGGCCGGCCTCCTCCTGCTCCTGGCCGGGGGCGTGTCCAGCACACCCGTGGCTCCTGGTAAGCCCCCCCCCCCCCCCGGCCTTCTCCCTCAGCCCCCTGAGCGGCAGGGGGGGGGCAGTGCTGGGGCCGGGAGCCAGTCGCGGGGTCGCCCCTGGACTCCTCCGGGGAGTGGTCACAGCGTCTCCTGAGCCTGCCCCCGCCCAGCCTGCAGGAGCGCAGGGCTGCGGCCTTGCATTCATGCTTCTTTCTTTGGTTCTGTTCATCCCACCCCGGGATATTGCCCACTAATTGTCTAGAGAGAATGGGAGGGAGGGGAGGAATAGGGAGGGGAGGGAGGGGAGGGAGAGGTGAGAGAGGCACGTCAGTTGGTACCTCCCCACATGTGACCAGAGATCAAAGCCAAGACCCTTTGGTGAACAGGCTGACACGCTAACCACTGAGCGACGCTGGCCAGGGCTTTATGCCGCCCTTTGAGCTGCTTCTCTGCCCAGCGTGCCCTTCCCCTTCCCTCGCCCCGGGCCCCTCCCCGTTCAGCTCCCTCCTCCGCTCAGGCACACCTTCCTGCCGGTGCACTTTCTCTCAAGCTTCTCTTCGGCCCCCCCAGCTGCCCTGTCCCCACGACGGAGCCCAGGAGGCGGCGGCCCTCACTGGGCGCGGCCTGTGGCCGGGGCGGCGGTGGAGTTCAGTCTGCACCTGCCCCAGCACAGGCCCGCCCCTTCGCATGAGCACTGAGGGCAGAGGGCAGGGCTGCCCGGTCACCCCCCAGGCTGGGGTCACCGAGGCCTGATGGTCAGGTCTCCGGTCCCGCCTGCAGCCTCTATTCAAGTGGGAGACAGAGGGGGGAGGGTCCTGGCCTGCAATCCTGAGGCCTCCCGGGCTCACCCGCTTAGCCCCATCCCAGGCCCCTCCACCAAGTGAGCCCAGACGCAGTGCTCTCCAGTGAGCGCCCTCCCCCACACCCCACCCCAGACGCAGTGCTCTCCAGTGAGCGCCCTCCCCCACACCCCACCCCAGACGCAGTGCTCTCCAGTGAGCGCCCTCCCCCCCCAGACGCAGTGCTCTCCAGTGAGCGCCCTCCCCCACACCCCACCCCAGACGCAGTGCTCTCCAGTGAGCACCCTCCCCCACCCCAGACGCAGTGCTCTCCAGTGAGCGCCCTCCACCAAGTGAGCCCAGACGCAGTGCTCTCCAGTGAGCGCCCTCCCCCACCCCAGACGCAGTGCTCTCCAGTGAGCGCCCTCCCCCACACCCCACCCCAGACGCAGTGCTCTCCAGTGAGCGCCCTCCCCCACCCCACCCCAGACGCAGTGCTCTCCAGTGAGCGCCCTCCCCCACCCCACCCCAGACGCAGTGCTCTCCAGTGAGCGCCCTCCCCCACACCCCCCCAGACGCAGTGCTCTCCAGTGAGCGCCCTCCCACACCCCACCCCAGACGCAGTGCTCTCCAGTGAGCGCCCTCCCCCACCCCACCCCAGACGCAGTGCTCTCCAGTGAGCGCCCTCCCCCACACCCCCCCAGACGCAGTGCTCTCCAGTGAGCGCCCCCCCCAGACGCAGTGTTCTCCAGTGAGCGCCCCCCCCCCAGACGCAGTGTTCTCCAGCGGAGAACGGGCCCACGAGGTGCTGCGCATACGTAAGCGGGCCAACTCCTTCCTGGAGGAGCTGCGGGCCAGCGACCTGGAGCGCGAGTGCAGGGAGGAGCTCTGCGACCTGGAGGAGGCCCGGGAGTACTTCCAGGACATGGGCCGCACGGTAAGGCCCGCTGGGCAGGCGGCGCGCTGGCGGGGCTGCCTGGGAGGCCCCCCGGGGCCAGATGAAGTCCGCTGGCACTCTGGCCGGTGGCCACAGACAGGCGTCGGGCAGCTGCAGCCCGCCCTCCCCTCCTGCCCCCTCCCGGGGACCAGCAGGCCACCACCTGTCCTCTCACCCACAGCCTGTGGCCTGGTGTGGGCCTGCCTTGCCGTCTGCCCACAGTCTAGTCTGCGCCAGCTTTGTTTCAGGGCAGAACCTGCCTGGCCCAGGCCGTTTCCCTGGCCCCCCCGGGCTGCTGGCCTGGGGCGGGGCGGACTCTGCTTCCTGACAGTCCCAGGGCCCTCCCGCCAAGGCAGTGTCCCCTCCGCCAGGAGCACTTTCTGGCCAGGATGCCAGGCTGAGGGCGCTGGTCTGCTCCTCTCCCAGTGGCCTCCTCAGCGAGGCCGCCCCTGCCTGGGCTCCTCCCCTCCCCTCTGAGGGCGGCTGTGCTGCAGGGGGCAGCCCCAGCTGCCGGCAGCATCTGGCTAGAGAAGCAGCGACTGCCACCTGGAGCACCAGCTGCCCCGGAGGAGGCGGGCGCTGCCCAGCTCGGGCACTCAGCTGCAGAAAAGCCGGGAGGCGGGCAGCGTCAGGGAGGCCGGGTGGGCGCCCGGTGCGGGAGGAGGGGCGGCGTCCCCGGCCGGCCACCAGCAGGCTGACCCGCTGCGGGAAGCCACAGCGGGCGGCCACGGTCCTCTCTCCCACAGCTGGACTTCTGGTTCAAGTACGCCGGTGAGTGCTCGGCTCCGGGCTCCGGGCTCCGGGGGCGGGGGCAGGTCGGGCGGCTCCGTGCCGACTCCCAACCCCTGTCCAGACGGGGACCAGTGCGCGGCCCTGCCCCTGGGGGAGCACCCTTGCGACAGCCCCTGCTGCAGCCACGGCTCCTGCATCGACGGCATCGGCGGCTTCCGCTGTGTCTGTGACCAGGGCTGGGAGGGCCGCTTCTGCGGGAGCGGTGAGTGCACAGGCGGGCGCGGGGCGTGGGGGCGGGAGGAGGGAGCGCCATGGGGGGAGGGGGAGCCCCATGGGGGGACGGGAGGAGGGGGAGCGCCATGGCGGGGGAGGGGGAGCCCCATGGGGGGAGGGGGAGCGCCATGGGGGGGAGGGGGAGCGCCATGGGGGGAGGGGAGGAGGGGGAGCGCCATGGGGGGAGGGGAGGAGGGGGAGCGCCATGGGGGGAGGAGGGGGAGCCCCATGGGGGGAGGGGAGGAGGGGGAGCGCCATGGGGGGGAGGGGAGGAGGGGAGCCCCATGGGGGGAGGGGAGGAGGGGGAGCGCCATGGGGGGAGGGGAAGAGGGGAGCCCCATGGGGGAGGAGGGGAGGAGGGGAGCCCCGCGGGGGGAGGAGGGGAGCCCCGCGGGGGGAGGAGGGGAGCCCCATGGGGGGAGGGGAGGAGGGGGAGCGCCATGGGGGGGAGGGGAAGAGGGGAGCCCCATGGGGGGGCGCGGAGGGAGGAGGGGAGCCCCATGGGGGGAGGGAGGAGGGGAGCCCCATGGGGGAGGAGGGGAGCCTCATGGGGGGAGGAGGGGAGCCCCGCGGGGGGAGGAGGGGAGCCCCTCGGGGGGAGGAGGGGACCCCCACGGGGCTCGGCGGCCGCTCCACGGTGCCTGTCCGCCAGAGGCGCGCTTCTCCAACTGCTCGCTGGACAACGGGGGCTGCGCCCAGCACTGCCGCGAGGAGGCGGGCGGGCGCCGCTGCAGCTGCGCGCCCGGCTACCGGCTGGCGGACGACCACCAGCTGTGCGAGCCCACAGGTGAGCCCGGCCCGGGGCCAGGGAGCCAGGCCGCCGGCCTGTCCGCCCCGGCTGCTGCCCGCCGCCGCCCGGCCTGTCCGCCCGGGCTGCTGTCCGCCCCTGTCCGCCCCGGGCTGCTGTCCGCCCCTGTCCGCCCCTGTCCGCCCCTGTCCGCCCGGGGCTGCTGTCCGCCCCTGTCCGCCCCTGTCCGCCCCTGTCCGCCCCTGTCCGCCCGGGGCTGCTGTCCGCCCCTGTCCGCCCCTGTCCGCCCCTGTCCGCCCGGGGCTGCTGTCCGCCCCTGTCCGCCCCTGTCCGTCCCTGTCCGCCCCTGTCCGCCCGGGGCTGCTGTCCGCCCCTGTCCGCCCCTGTCCGTCCCTGTCCGCCCCTGTCCGCCCGGGGCTGCTGTCCGCCCCTGTCCGCCCCTGTCCGCCCGGGGCTGCTGCCCACCGCCGGCCTGTCCGCCCCTGTCCGCCCCTGTCCGCCCCTGTCCGCCCCGGGCTACTGCCCGCCGCCGCCCCTGTCCGCCCCTGTCCGCCCCGGGCTGCTGCCCGCCGCCGCCCCTGTCCGCCCCTGTCCGCCCTGGGCTGCTGCCCGCCGCCGCCCCTGTCCGCCCCTGTCCGCCCCTGTCCGCCCCTGTCCGCCCTGGGCTGCTGCCCGCCGCCGGCCCGCCGCCCCTGTCCGCCGCCCGCTCCCTCAGACACCCGTTCCCTGTCTCTCCTGCTGTCCGTCCTGGGCTCTGTGCCCTTTCAGGCCGTCCCTCAGCTTTATGGTCCTTCACTGAGAACGGCCCACAGTCCCGCCCTGGCCAGTGGCGCAGTGGCCAGGGCACCGGCCTGCGGACCATCAGGCCCGGTTCGATTCTGGCCGGCAGGTGCCTGGCGGCTCCCCGGCCCGGCCTGGTCGGCGCGGCCCCGTCGCTGCCCGCCCTGCCCGCCCTGTCTGGCGGGAAGGCGCCGGGCCGAGTGCCCAGGCCCACCGGGAGGCAGCGGCTGGCAGGTCCGGGGGCGGCGGCTGCCCTGGGCGCCTGCTTGCAGGCCGTCCGCCCGGGCCAGGCCCGCAGCCCCTGCCCGCCCCCCGTCCCTGCGGTCCCGCCGCCGGCGCCTGCTGGCGGCGCCGGGCCACCCCCGGCCGCCCTGGGCCACCGTCTGTGCTGGGCCGGGCCCCAGGCCCGGTGGCCCTCTGTGCGCGGGGCGGGGTGTGTGAGTGTGTGTGTGTGTGTGCGCGGGGTGTGTGTGTGTGTGTGTGTGTGTTTGTGCGCGGGGCAGGGTGTGTGTGTGTGTGTGTGTGTGTGTGTGTGTGTGTGTGCGCGCGGGGCGGGGTGTGTGTGTGTGTGTGTGTGTGTGCGGGGCAGGGTGTGTGTGTGTGTGTGTGTGTGTGTGTGCGAGGGGTGGGGTGTGTGAGTGTGTGTGTGTGTGTGCGTGTGTGTGTGCGGGGCAGGGTGTGTGTGTGTGAGTGTGTGTGTGTGCGCGGGGTGTGTGTGTGCGGGGCGGGGTGTGTGAGTGTGTGTGTGTGTGTGTGTGTGTGCGCGGGGGGTGTGTGTGTGTCTGGGGGGATAGGGGGGCGGGGTGTGTGTGTGGGTGGCGGAGTGTGTGTGTGTGTCTGGGGGGTGGGGGGCGGGGTGTGTGTGTGGGTGGCGGAGTGTGTGTGTGTGTGGGTGGCGGAGTGTGTGTGTGTGTGCAGGGCGGGGGGTGTGTGTGTGTGGGGGGCGGGGTGTGTGTGTGTCTGGGGGGTGGGGGGCGGGGTGTGTGTGTGGGTGGCGGAGTGTGTGTGTGTGTGCGGGGCGGGGTGTGTGTGTGTGGGGGGCGGGGTGTGTGTGTGTGTCTGGGGGTGGGGGGCGGGGTGTGTGTGTGGGTGGCGGAGTGTGTGTGTGTGTGTGGGTGGCGGAGTGTGTGTGTGTGCAGGGCGGGGGGTGTGTGTGTGTGGGGGGCGGGTTGTGTGTGTGTGTGTGTGTGCGGGGCGGGGTGTGTGTGTGTCTGGGGGGATGGGGGGGCGGAGTGTGTGTGTGTGTCTGGGGGGGTGGGGGGCGGGGTGTGTGTGTGGGTGGCGGGGTGTGTGTGTGTGTGGGTGGCGGAGTGTGTGTGTGTGTGCAGGGCGGGGTGTGTGTGTGCGCGTGCGCGGGGCGGGGTGGGTGTGGGTGTGTGTGTGAGTGTGTGGCTGCAGCCCTGCAGAGCAGGTCCAGGCTCTCCCCACACAGCTGCCCCCTCCCTGCCCGTCCGCCCTGGGGGCGCCTCGGGTGCCTGCCCTGCGTCCCTGGCGCCGATGGCTGTCACCGAGGGGAGTGCTCCCTCAGCGGGTGCTGCCCCCCAGCCCTGTCCGCCCTCCGCTCTGCCAGGCGGCCTCCTCTCTCTCTCTCTCTCTCTCTCTCTCTCTCTCTCTCTCTCTCTCTCTCTCTCTCTCTCGGATCCCCGAGAATGCCCCCTCCTCCCTCACCGTGTGGCAGCACCCCTCCTGCACCTCAGGGTCCTCCCCACAGGCGGGGGCGGGGCAGGGCCGAGCGGAGGGCCGAGGGCGGGTTGGGGGTGCGGCAGGCCCTCACCCCCCCCTCCCCTCCGCAGTGAGCTTCCCCTGCGGGAGGCCGTGGGGCCCGGCGGACAGGAAGGGCCCGGCCGCCTTGAAGTGCTGCGCGGACCAGGACCAGGCGGGCCAGCCGCGGCTGGTCAACGGGAAGCTGACCCTGCAGGGGGAGAGCCCCTGGCAGGTGAGGGGCAGCGGCCGGGCACAGAAAAGGGAGGTGCTGCCTGTGCGGGGGAGGCCAGTGCTACGGCGCTGAGGGGGGGACAGGCCGGCTCTGACTGCAGAGGCAGAAAGTGCCAGAACAGGGCGGGCAGCGGGCCTGGCCGCCGGGGGCTGGGGTGCGAGACAGCTGCTCCCTCCCCGCCAGGTGGCCCTGCTGGACTCGAAGAAGAAGCTGGCCTGCGGGGCGGTGCTGGTGCACCCCGCCTGGGTGCTGACGGCCGCCCACTGCATGCAGCCCGCCCGGAAGCTCACCGTCAGGCTCGGTGCGGGGGGCGGCTGCGGGGGGCGCGGGGGCGCGGGGGCAGGTGTGGGGACCCTGCCCCAGGGGTGCTTGAGCCCTGCAGAGGCGATGGTCAGAGGCCTGCCTCCTTCCCGCGGGCGGCGGCCGCTCCTGCCCTCCCGCAGGCCAGGCGCTCATGCAGCGTGTGCGCCCTCTGCACAGACCTGGCCCTGCTGGCCTCCGGGCCACATCCCCACCGGCATCCCCACCCAGCCGGCTGCTTCCCTGCCGCCTGCGGCCGAGCCGCGCCCCACTCTGTCCTGCTTCTGGGAGTGGGATGCTCACCCGTTCTCTGCCAAAGAGACGGACAGACGTGCTGCCGGGAGCCGGCTCGCTCCGGCAATCCCCGCAGGCCTGTGGCCGGCTCTGCGGGACCAGCCAGCCTGAGAGGACGGGCGCCCGCTGTGGCCCGGACCTTGCTTCCCTGCAGATCCCATCCCCTCCGGCTCCTCTCCAGGCCTTGCTGCTCCTGCCCTGCGCCCCCATGGCAGGTCCGGTGCCCGCTGGCTGCAGGCTCGCTCTCCAGACGCAGCCCCTGCTCTCCGGCGCTCTGTCGGGGGCTGAGTTTCGGCCCGCCCTCTGCCCGCAGGGGAGTACGACCTGAGGCGCCGGGAGAAGGGCGAGGTGGACCTGGACATCACGGAGGTGCTCGTGCACCCCAACTACAGCAGGAGCACCTCCGACAACGACATCGCGCTGCTGCGCCTGGCGCAGGCCGCCCCGCTCTCGCAGACCGTCGTGCCCGTGTGCCTGCCGGACGGCGGCCTGGCGGAGCGCGAGCTGGCCCGCGAGGGCCGGGAGACCGTGGTGACCGGCTGGGGCTTCCGCAGCGAGACGGGGCGCAACCGCACCTCCATCCTCAGCTTCATCCGGATCCCCGTGGCCCCGCAGGGCCAGTGCGCCCAGGTCATGCACAACGCCGTGTCGGAGAACATGCTGTGTGCGGGCATCCTCGGGGACCCGCAGGACGCCTGCGAGGGCGACAGCGGGGGGCCCATGGTGGCCTCCTTCCGGGGCACCTGGTTCCTTGTGGGCCTGGTGAGCTGGGGCGAGGGCTGCGGGCGCCTCCACAACTACGGCGTTTACACCCGCGTCAGCCGCTACCTCGACTGGATCCACAGCCACATGGGCGCCCCGGCGGCCCCCCCAGGCAGCCCGCGGCCCTAGCCGCCCAGCCCCCTGGGCCCGGCCGTGCGCGGCCACTGTGCATTAAAGGGGCCCGCAACGCACCGCGCTGTGTCTCCATCTCTGCGGGCCGGGGAGGAGAGGTACTGAGGCGTCTGGAGCGGGTCTAAGCCCCATGGGGTGGGGAAGAGCACATCCGAGTTCTGTGTGGTCTGAAGCCGCTCATATCTGGGGACTCTCTTTATGAAAAAGAATTTTTAAAGAATGACTTCACTGTGAGAGCCTCCGGGCCGTGGGGGCCTGTGCAGTCCGGGCTCTGACCCAGAACGTGGCCCAGGGTTCGGGAGGTTTGCGGCTGGACCAGGATTCACAGGTCTGTTTCCCGCACCCGGGCTCCTGTCACAGTCCCAGGACAGATGCAGGGCCTCGCCAGCCCCACGGGCCTGCCCCGGGGGAGCCCCGGGGGGGGGGGGCGCGGGAGGTGCTAGCTGGGCCAGAATGCCTCCAGTGCGGTGGGGAAGCGTCACAGGCTGAGGCTGTCCTGACCAGCTGATGGCAGAGACCTGTGGCTCCGAGAGGCGAGAGGCCAGGCAGCCGCCCATGAGGGCGGGAGCCACAGGCTCCGTCACTCCTGCAGGGGCAGTGCGGGCGGGGCGGGCAGCCCTCCGCCCGGCTGAGCAAGAGCTTTCGCCAAGAGCCTGGCCCGCCCACCCTCACATCCTGGCTGGGCCAGTTCAGGGTCCGTGCCCAGACACAGACCTTTTAAAACTCCCAGGAATTGTCAGGGTGCCAGGGGCTGAGACCACGGCCTCTGTTTGGGCCTCAGACTCAGGGCCCAGGAGCACGGAGACAGAACCTCGAAAAGCAACTGGTGATGGTGCCAGGGCGTCAGCACCACCGCTGCTAGGCCAGGACCCCCGAGTCAGCCCTCCTGTGAGCACGGAGGAGGCCTGGGCGGCTGCAGCGTTCGCCTGCGGAGGGGCGGGGAGAGGGTGGGTAGGAGGACTTGGATTCTGGAGGAAACCAGGCCTGAGGCGGGAACCCTCGGCTGGTTAGCACCGGGGGCATGTGCCCACGCTGGCCGTGGGCCGGGATGGAGTGAGGATGACTGTGCTGGAGGTCTGTGTCCATCAGAGTGCCAGGGGGGTCTCCTGTCAGATGCTTCACTAGCACAGGCCAGACAGCTCCTAGGATGGCCAGGGAAACTAGTGGAAATGATGAAGCACGGCAGGTAACGTCTCTGGAAGTGGTCCTAAGGGCAAACAAAACAGGAACAAAAAGGCAGCTCTTAAACCAACACCACAAAACGGGACCTGTCCAAGAGAAACAGGGTAAAAAGACAAACAGCCAGCACGAAGATCATTGCATTTCTATCGGCCAACAATGTACACGAGGACGTGAGAAGGAAAAGCATAACATTGGTGCCAATCACCTGGGAAAAATCAGTACCAATGGAGCCACTTTAAAATGGAGCGGAGCTGCCATCCCGGGGGTCAGCCATCCCGGGGGGTCAGCCATCCCGGGAGCTGCCATCCCAGGGGTCAGCCATCCCGGGAGCTGCCATCCCGGGGTCAGCCATCCCGGGAGCTGCCATCCCGGGAGCTGCCATCCCGGGGGTCAGCCATCCCGGGAGCTGCCATCCCGGGAGCTGCCATCCCGGGGGCTGCCATCCCGGGGGTCAGCCATCCCGGGAGCTGCCATCCCGGGGGTCAGCCATCCCGGGAGCTGCCATCCCGGGAGCTGCCATCCCGGGGGCTGCCATCCCGGGGGCTGCCATCCCGGGAGCTGCCATCCCGGGGGTCAGCCATCCCGGGGTCAGCCATCCCGGGAGCTGCCATCCCGGGAGCTGCCATCCCGGGGGTCAGCCATCCCGGGAGCTGCCTTACGCATCTGACTTCCAGCCTCTGGGTGTGGGAGCACAGGGACCTGTGGCGGGCCAGCGGCCTGGCCTCGGGAAGCCCTGTGTGCAGGATTCCCAGAGAGCAGTGCCCTGAGCACCAGGCCGGACACCGAGCACGTTGTCTGACCGGCGCCTGAGTCGGCGCGTCTGCACCAGAGGAAGCCGCGCCTGGGCAGGAGCCGTCCCTCCCCCCGAGCCCTGGCCTCGGGCTCCCATCAGAGCGCTGCTTGGGCTCTGCCTGCGGTGTGCTTACCGAACAGCTGTTCCTTTTTATTTCAGATAGATTCCTGTTGCCTCTCACTTTGGCCTTTTGTTTTTGGGCTAACAAAGTCTAAAGAAAATGAATACTTCGCTATAAATTACGGAGACCTTGAACCAGAAATGTGTGGTGAGAGAGAAAATGCCGATAAAGGAAATGAGGAAGACCTACATACGTGAGGAGCCATATTGGGAGACTCAACACAGAGAAGGTGCCCACGTTCCTGACCCAGCAGGTATCTGGGTGGGCACAGATAAGCTTAATATGTATGGAAAGGACCTGAATACCCAAATGCTTTAGAACATGAGAATACATTAGGAAGGCTCACTCTCCGGTGCCGTGGCTAGATCGGCAATCAAGGCCATTGTAGTGTTAGTGGAGGGAGACACACAAAACAGGATCCAAAAGTAGCGCCTCCACATGGCACTGCTGTGCCACAGGCGCCAAGGCAGCTGGATGGAGGGAGAGCTTCCCACACAGCAGAGCCTCCCAGCACACCCCTCCTGGGCCACGCCTCACACCCACACTCCACGTGGACTAAGCACAGAAGAGTCAACGGGAACGATGGAGTCAGATGGAAAGAAGCATAAGTGTAATTCATTAAACACCGATTAAGAGAGAGAACTCACAAAATAAAAATAAATCTGATAATATATTATCTACAGACAGCTTTAAAAAAGCACTGCAAGATTGGAAGTAAAGAATGCTAGAAATTCCATACAAGTGGAGAGACAGTGAAGACCATGATTTTAATAACTGATAAAATAGAAACCAAGGAAAAATATCACAAAGGACAAAGGTGGAGGTTAAATACTGATAAAATAATCATATATAATAATAAAAGCATAACATGCAAATCTCCCAAACAGCAGAACCACCTTCGGATGACCACACTATGACACGCACTGGTGCAGGGCCAGCGAGTGCGTGATTGGTCAGGGGGAGGGGGAGGGCATTGCCCCACGATTGCTCCACAGAGGGAAGCCCAGGCCACACTCTGCGGGGTGATCAATTGGAGGCTCTCTGGAACCCGGGACCTGGGGTGTGGCAGCAGACACGGGCAGCACCAGGTGAAGGTGGGGCCACAGAGCCAGCATCCGGGGGAAGGAAGTCTATCCTTGCATGAATTTCATGCATCGGGCCTCTAGTTATAACATGCGCCTCTAAAACCATAGATTCAAAATATGTGAACCTGCAAGTGATAGAAGGACAGGGAGAAATAAACAATTGTCTTGGAGATTTTAAAAAGCTCCCTCAGAAACCAATAAACAGGTATGTAGAAGGTTTGAGCAATGCAATCATTTATGCAAGCAGGCGGGGCCAAGGAAGGCTCAGTAACTTTCAGGGACTCAAAATGTGGAAGAGCTCAGGGGGCTCAGTGGTTGGGTGTCAACCTATCAAACAGGAGGTCAGGGTTCAATTCCCAGTTAAGGCACAGGCCCAGGTTGCAAGCTTAATCCCTAGTGGGGGCATGCAGGAGGCAGCTGATGGATGATTCTCTCTCATCATTCATATTTCTACCTTTCTCTCCCTCTTCCTCTCTGAAATCAATATATATATATTAAAACTATGTAATTTAAACTATGTCCTCTCTCCAAAAGGCAGGAAAATAAAAATTAATAACAAAAAATAGTTTTTATATGTTCTCAAATTAACATAATAAAAAATCATAAGAGATATTAAGAAATAGCCAGAACTGAGTGTTAAATTGTGGGACATAGAGCAATGCATCAAGGGAAATTATCTTTAAATATACTAATCAAAAAACAAGAGTTAAAATCTATATCTATATCTATATCATTTATCTATCTATAACACACACACACGATTTATTTTTTTTAATTTTATTTTTTTAATTTTTAAAAAAAATATATTTTATTGATTTTTCACAGAGAGGAAGAGAGAAGGATAGAGAGTTAGAAACATCGATGAGAGAGAATCATCGATCAGCTGCCTCTTGCACACCCCTGCTGGGGATGTGCCCGCAACCAAGGTACATGCCCTTGACCGGAATCGAACCTGGGACCTTTCAGTCCGCAGGCTGACGCTCTATCCACTGAGCCAAACCGGTGCCGGCTACACACACAATTTATGTTAAGGAATTTGCTCATGCAGTGTGGGGCTTGGCCAGTCCCAGATCTGATCGGAGAGATTTATAGGCTGTAGACTCCGGGAAGGATTACGGTTTGAGTCAAAGGCCATCTGTTGGTGGGATTCTGCCAGGACTGACCAGCAGACCCTGAGTGACAGATGAATGATCACTCTGACACACGTTTCTGTGACAGGGCTAAGGGACTGCCTGGCTAAAGGAACCAAACAGTCCTCTTCGCCTGCCTCCTTAGGCTTTTATTGTCATGACAGCTTGAACTAAAATTAGCCTCTAGACACAGTCAGCAGGGTGAGTATCCTTGAGAAAGCACATGCTTCTACAAGATCTGGTCTGAAGACTAAACACAGAGATTCCTGTAAAATACCAGGGGCTCAGACTTGTTTGGAAAAAATCAAGGCAGGGGTGGCCACCTTCAGCAAGGTCCTTTCCAACCAGGTCCCGTGCTTCCCCACAGAATTCCTTCTTGCTCAGGGGAGGTCAGGCTCTGTTCTCTTGCTCAGTTCACCCATCGAAGTGTCAATTTCATGCAAAAATGCCCTCGCAGAAAACACCGAGCAGTGTCCGGCCCAGCTGCCCAGTTGCTGCATAAATGAACCATCACGAAGCGTTAGGGTTGAACTGAATTCCCTCCCCCCAGCTTATATAGGAGCAGGGTGAGCCCCTGCTATGACTGGGTTCTTATAAAGGGGGATTTGAACATAGACACACCCACTGCAAGTGGAGATGTGAACACACAGGGAGAACGCCTGGCCGGCAAAGGGTCAGGACTAGGT